TTCAACAGTTTACGTGCTACTCAGAATCCCACCTCATCTGGAAGAATGTTTCGAACACACTTTAAGCCTTGAAAGAATATTCACATATGTTTTGAGCAGATCGGCAGCTTTATGGAAACAGGTCGCCATTCTAGTCAGTACAGGGAATAGGGTCTTCACTTTATTTTATTTTTCATGTGATCTGATGTAGGCTTATCGAGCCTTATTGCAACACTCATAAGAGTACTATCGGAACGACTTCTTTCCAACGATCGGGAGTCACCTTCCAGATGTGTATGTTTGTCTTCTGTCATGCAGCGACCAGAATATTCATTTTTGATTTCTCATTCTGCCACCCTTAATCTATGTCGCGCTCCACAGGTAGGGCTAGTTGTCCTCTTGCACAGTTTCTACAGCTTGGACCTTCGAAACGAGAATCATAATTTTTGAAGATGCACCCTATTGCGTTATTATACATTGATCACACTATTTATAGACTTACCCATGTATAGATTTCTTACAGCAGGTCTCATATTGATCGAATTTCTGTCGTAGCCTTCATATCTCGAGTGTTCCTATTTTTCGTTATTCAGCATGAGTTGAAGTGTGTAGCACGAACACCTTCCTAAGCCGTGATCTGAAGTGCTCGCTTGAATTCTATTGCCTACCCTTGAACACGCCCCTTCTTTCATCATTCATTTCGTCTCACCCCGAAGAACCGCATTGTAGGTCAGTCGTTTGCCGCAGTACGACACGCATTCAAAGATCAGTACTATACCTTACCTGCTAGAAATCAGTACAGCTTCGGAGAATACTCCAGAAAGGTTTGCTGCTCGTAGGTCAAAAATCTGGCGAAGATCAAGTTCGGTAAGGGTGGGCGTCTCCCTCTCGCCCCTTGCTACATTCTTTCCATACCAATTTCGGAGAAAGCTCTGTTCGTTTATCTTCTATTCCAAGGCTTTAGCTACCGCAGAAATAGTAGTGAGTATGTCCTTGATAGTAGATGGCGAACCCAGTGAAGAAGCGGAACCCTAATTAACCTGTTACAAGGAAATTATGAAGAACCTTGAAAACTGCCAAACATTGGACGAAATTTACCGTGAACACAACAGATGGACTTCTAGTTTCTGCTTTTTGCACACAAAAAAAATTTTCGACTCTAAGTGCGTTTACTTACCAGGCATTATGCTTTGCCGCGTATGAGACTCATTTTCAGTTAAGTTCGTGAATTTTTGATTCCTATCGCTGTCAACCTCCCTTACACTATGGTCATTATAACTTCATGGCTGTTCCACCTTTCTCGATTTCTCAGCAACGTTGCGGTAATGCAGTTCTGGGTGAAAATGTAGTTAGGGGTGCCAGCGCCCTTTTGTGCTCTGCGTTACTGACACCGGCGGCAGAGTGCATAGAGATCGCAGAGATGGATTCCTCCCCTTCTAAAAGTTAGGGGAGGAGCTCCGGGGTGGGAGAGATGATTAGATGAGGTAAGAAATGAAGAGACGCAGAGCACAAAAGTGCGTGGCACCCNCCCCCCCCCCCCCCCTTCCCCCCCAACTACTTTCTCACCGTCTACAAAAATCGTAGAGATAAAAGTCAATGAACTAGTTTGTCATCTAAGTAAGAAAAGAAAAAGGTGAAAAGTATGACGAAACATTATCACACCTTTTATCAACACTTCTACACAAATCATTAAATTACTCGAGTTAATTATTGAATTTCTTCTAGCCTCAAACGCAGAATCCTTTCAACGAGTTTGATAATACCCTTCTTCACTCAGACCGGCGTTGGGTAGTCACGTCGACTTACGCTGACCTGACTAATGAACGGTGTTTCCTTAACGGCATCCGATTCTTACAATAACCTTGTGATGGAATAAAATGTAGCAAGTGACACAAATGCTTCATTCTCAACGAGGGTTAGCAACTTGTGCACTAGTGCAATTGCATTTGATGAGGTGCAGTTGGAACAGTCGAAATCAGCCTTTTCTATGAAAGCCTCGGATGAGTATGTCTATGAAATACGCGACGATTTGATTCCCTGCCTAAGTGCCTCCGAGAGGGAATCATCAGTTGCAATAATTTCTCCTTTCTAGCTCTAATTGCCTCCATTTACTAATTCTTACTTGAGTGGCTGAGTTTGCTTCCCTGACAGACCACTGACTACCCGTCCGCGGTATCAGTGACCTGTTATTCGATGATTAGATGGCATATGTGATTCATGCAGATCTGAGTAAGTTCATTCGGAGTGCACGACTTCGTCTTTGTTGGTTATTCGTGTTCATGTTAGTATTCACCGATTACAGGCTCGCTTTGCTACGAAATGACAGAAATTACCATTTGCCTTTCGAATGTCAGTTTTGCAGAAGAAATAGTGTCTCATTCAAATTAGGAGACTTCAAAAACTTGGGCGCACAACCTTTTCAGACTTTCTATCGCTCATAATATTGATGTTCTTTATCTCGGTTACATGAATTGTTGTCATTTTCAAACAGTCACCTTGTCGCAACTACGATGGACTGGTCATAACGGCACGAATTACCTGACCCAGACAAGCGTGAAACGTTTACATGTGTTTCGAGCTGGAATTTTTTCTTTCCTTGAGCGAATCTCAATCAATGATATACACCCAATTTTGTTTTCCTATCTTTTGCAATACTTCTGGTGATTTCATAGCCTCTTCCTTAGGGTACCTCGAATTTTTCGGCTAAAGGGACAACATAAGATTTGATATCCTCAATTTCGGTGGAGGTGCCTCATTCAAGTAGTCCTGAAACGGTCAAAGTAAGAGGTATTGGGATGGTGCGAGATCCGGGCTATTCAGTGGACGCAGCACTAATGGTAATTGAGCTTCAATCACTTATGCCAGACCGCCAGAAAAGTATGCGGTCTAACCTCGCCGTTGTTTAACGCTACTCCTTTGCAATTCCCTACATTTGGAGGGCTTTTCCATTTGCTTGATAAAATCCCAGTAAGTGGAGTTCCGGAGAATGAACATCAGCTTTGAACCTTATTTGAGCTAATTCATCCGGTGTTTACCGTAAAAGTTTGTAAGAACACTAAAAAAAATAAATCTGCATCAGGATCCTAAAAATAGAACACTCAAGACACTCTTTTATAGGAACCATTATCTGTGTGATGGAAAAGCCATAGGTGTTTACCGATGGTTCACATTCGTTGAGCAGTTCCAGAGTGGATTGCATAGCATCCTTATTGGATACATTGGTGTAAAGTGAGGTAACACTGAAAGATTCCATAAAGTGATTGGGTT